AGTGCAGTGCTCAGAGCTACAGGCAGCAGGCAGGCTGTGCAGTGCAGTGCTGAGCTCAGAGCTACAGGCAGCAGGCAGGCTGTGCAGTGCAGTGCAGTGCTGAGCCCAGAGCTGCAGGCAGGCTGTGCAGTGTGGTGCAGTGCAGTGCTCAGAGCTGCAGGCAGCAGGCAGGCTGTGCAGTGCAGTGCTGAGCTCAGAGCTGCAGTGAGCAGGCTGTGCAGTACAGTGCAGTGCAGTGCTCAGAGCTGCAGTGAGCAGGCTGTGCAGTGCAGTGCTGAGCTCAGAGCTGCAGGCAGCAGGCAGGCTGTGCAGTGCAGTGTAGTGCTGCACCCCCAGCAGCATCCAGGATGTGTCCTGCTTTCAAGAGTGCAGTGTCTGTACTGAGGTCTACTGGATGGCTACAGGGTGGGGTGGGGAGGAGAGACAGGGCTGAGACAGCAGGGTGCCTTCCTTGTTGGCCTCAGAACACTCCATGGGGTAGCAGATTTCAGCATCAAATGCAGGGGTTCCCCAGAGAAGTTCCAAATGCACTGGTCTTTACAGAGCTCTTGGGAACTACAGAGTGGCATAATTTGGGGGGCTCAACCTGGAGCCTGTCCTGTGCCTTAATGGCCTTGACCTCCTGAGTGCCAAGTCCTGTGCTGTTAAGTGCCAAGTCCTGGGGTTATCATTCAGAGGCAGTGCTTCAAGAGGCAGTGGAGGATGAGGACATTCAGTAGAAATCCACCCTTGCTGGTGTGCAAAGAGCATAAAGTGCAGACAAAGCCAGAAGCCTTGCCAGAAAGCATGCTTAGGCCCCCCTCATCCCCACAGCTCTGCAGTGGCCTAGGCCGGATGACACAGCCCCTTGTGTGCTCAGTCAACTCCAGGGCCGGTCCTGGACCCACTCAGAAGAGAAGAACCACGGCACATTCAGCCTGGGCTGTGGACCCAGCGCCCGGAGCCTGAGTGAGGTGGTACGCTGCCGCTTGGCCGCACAGGAGCCCCACCCAGAGGCACCACTCCTGGCAGCCTGGACAGCACACCGCCCGAAGCAGGCCTGTCCAGGAACACACGCCCAGGCACAAGCATTGTAAGGGTCACACCGTTAGCAGCAACATGAGTCAGAGGAAGAGTGAGGTAAATCTGAGTGGAAGCCAGGGCATCACAGGTTGGGCACCCTCAGCCCCAGTGTCTTCTTTCAGAGCCACACCAGCCCTCACAATTCTGCCGCTCCCAAGACCAAGCGTGCCTCTCACTGGAGAAACACAAACTCTCAGTTCTCCTGAGCAAACTCCCAAAGAAGCAGTGCTAAGGAATAATCAATGAATTCACTCTGCCTCTTCATCTCACTGACCAAAATTATCCTAAGTAATCGAAACAGCAGGAGACAGTAGGGATACATTTATCCTTCAAAACCCACCAGGTTTAATCTAGAAACAAGTACCAAGTTAATGTCAGTAACAAATAAACAAGTTAATGCCAGATACAGAATTTACAAAATAAGGAAAAAATAAAACAAGAAAATAAAAGTGGCCGCTCCCTGTGAAAGTGATCTGTTTTTTACTTATGGCTTACAAAAGCACATAGCATGTGGCCCACACCCTATGTTTAAGTGCATTAAATGTGTTCACATTACTGTAAAACCAGTGCCATCAGCCATCTGCAGAACGGTTTTCAATCTCTGAAGTAAAGCCAGCCTGATACCAAAGCTGATCTCTTTACTCAAAAACTGTAGAAAGTATTGTATTGAATCATCAGAGCAAATGCTAATCACACTTGTGTTCCTAAGGACCTGTACAAGCCACCGAAAGGCAAAGGCAGTTGGCACTGCGTTTCCAAACAAGACTTCCTAACTATGAAGGCAGGCTGGACATGCTGGACCGAGCCCTATGGTAAATCTGAATTGCGAATGCAAACACACTTCTTAGAGTTACAATTCTAACCACATACTGCTCCTTCCCCTTGACGGAATCCCTTCCTTTTCACACCCACAGCCTGAGTCTTGTAGCTTCAAGGTGCAATGTGCCATAGTTTACAGGTTATTTTAAGGGGTTACCAAGCCAAGGTCTCCAAGAGTCAAGTTTCAGTGGAGGGAGCCTCCTGGAGCCTGGGTCTGGCAACCTAGATTCTTGGGGTACCAGTATCTTCCAAATTAACTTGAAGCTTCACACATAACAAACTGTCTCAGACACAGCGTGTGGTGCTTACAAGCCCCCTGGGGCCCTCAGGCAGGGCTGCATCACTGTTCCTGACACTTCTCAGAACCTGCCCTCTTGGTGAACCTGGCCAGTGACTCCTTCTTCAGCTGCATTAGACTCAGGATTAGCATCAAGGACTGTTGGCAGCACCCTTTTTTTCTGCACGTGTGATGTGCTTGTGTGTGTGCATGGCTAACCAAGACTTTGAGAACATAAACAGGTTCAAGAACACCACCCATGTTGTAAATGTGCTTCTTCATTTGCAGGAAATAAGCTTTGCTTTGTAGCTGAGATGGATGGGTTCCATGGGTAGGGATGGAACATGAACCATGAGAGGGACATTTTGAAAATAACTCTACACATGCCACGCACTATGTCTTTTTTACTACTCATGCTTTACACTGAAATGCATGTGAGTGGACCTGCAGTGACCTTCAGCGACCACTCTGCCCAGCTGCTGGGTCACAGGGCTGTGTTACAAGTGATCTCAAAGAGTCTGTCAACATCAATTTGTTTAGCTAGAAAGCAAATGAAGAAATGCCAACTAACCTCTGTTTCATACCCCACAGAAATCTCCTGCAATACATACTCAAATCTGACAGGACACAACTGACTCCAGGAGCAAGGAAGATGTAACGGGCCCTTTACAGGAGACATGCCACGCTTTCCATCTCCTCCTCAGAGGTTTCTGCCTTGGTGAAAACACATTAGCACCTCCACACGGGGAGTAACTGAAATACAGACCGGTGACACAATGCACCACGCCTTCTGTCATCCTAATCATCATCACCACCGATACCAGCGACCCCTGAAGGCCTTCCTTTCCTCCAGCCCACTTCCTGAGGGAAAACACAGCACACCGTAACCTGCAGCCACTCCATCTTCTCACAGGAGAACCCAGGCCCCACTGACACCAGACACTGTGGTCCAGACAGCACCTCTCCTGATGGATGGGAAAGGCTGAGTCACCTATGGAGACCAAACATACCCCACACTGGCCACCAGTGGGACTGTGTGCTAGCAAGCAATATAACAAGCGAACGAAACAACGTTGAAATGAGTTATCCAGCTTTATCATGCACACAACTTCCCTTGAAAGTCCAGGACAACCATCACCTAAATCTGTTTCCTTCATCAATAAAAGCAGACCTCTGAGCGCAGCTTGTAACTCACTGCATAATGCAACAGTCCAGCTTTTCTTGGCTTCTTCCAATTAACATGCAAACTAGAACTAAAAACAGCAACAAAGAGCAAACTATAAAATATCTAACTCAGGCATCCCATGTCTGAACTCTGCACTGATACACAACTTGACATTTCAAACCAAAGAAAGCAGGTACTTTACCTGTGTTCCTGTCTGGCAGGATGCAGCAGTGCTTCTGCAGGATGCCGGGCAGAACCTGTTTCAAAACAGATAAATAAAGCGCGCTTGGTTATTATGCAGAAGGAGGTATCTCATTAACTGATGCAAAGATTCTTCTAATAAGGTACAAAGTCATCACACCCAGGACAGGCCAACAAACTAAACAATATGGACACAGGTGGCGATACACAGTTTTCATCAAAAAGGTTAATCAGGTGAGTGTGCGGCATGTGTGCTCCTGAGACGGGCTGCCATGGGTGCTCACTCCCCCAGGGCCCTGGGAGATCTAGAAGGCCGCACCCAGGGGTCACTGCAGGTGGGCACACGGGCCCACCGATTTTCACGAAGGCTTTTAGAACAGCACATGCGATTAGAGCCTGAACGCGGAGCCTTGCTGCCCCTCAGGGAGGAGACACCTGAGGAAGGCTGTGCCGAGGTGGAAGAAGCCACCTTGCGTGACTAGCGAGGACAAAGGGAAAATGAGAGCATATAGATTTTCAAGAAAATTCCTCAGTGGAAAGCAACTGAGGAGCTCGGGCTAGAAGCTAATCTCCCGCTGATGAGTCTGAGGGTGACTTCATGCCCTGCCTCCTGAGCTGTGTAGAGAAACGTGAACCCTCCTCGCTCGCACGCACCCACATGCACCAGTGCCACCCCCTCCACTCCCTGTGGCTGCCAACAAAGCTCACAGGCCGGAAGCCAGACCCAGTCACCAGGGCCCAGGGCCCTGGAACTGCCCAGCTGGACTCACAGCCAGACCCAGTCACCAGGGCCCAGGGCCCCGGAACCGCCCGGCTGGACTCACAGGCCAGCCCAGGTGGAGCAGGGCCTCTCAGGTACCACAAAGGAAAGCAAGCTTCCCTCTTAACCACACCTCCCTCTTCCATCTCCCTCCAGTTATCCTGCATTGAGGGAAGAATAGATCTCTCCTAAGTACAACCCATCACAAGCAAGACAGACTGGTGACCTTTGACTCTGAACCTCTCAGGGACACAAAAAAGAAAGCAATGAGCAAATCAGTATTTGATAAATACCATGAAAAAATGTGTAATTAAGGCTTTGAAATCTTCCTCACTCACACCCAGCTGACTGCTTGAGCAAACACTGCTGAGACTATTGCTTACAAAGTGCTAAGAGCAGGACACCCATCATTGGTAGACAGCACGGCTGTTCTTCACCAGCCAGGACGTTCCTGTCTCTCTTCCCCCCACAGCAATGCCCGTACCCACCCACACGGCGGGCAGACTCCAGTGTCCAGTGCATCCAAAACTGTGCACCCTTCCTGGCCTGCTTGGAAAATGAAACTGCATTTCCACTAAAATCTCCTACCAAACCCACAAAACCCACAAAGGCCAGAGAGAAAAGTGCTGGCCAGCTCAGATCCCTTGTAACTGGACCCAGATCCATGCCCAGGACAGCAGGGGACATGGTTGCTGGGATAAGGCTCTCTTAAAGAAGGCCCACAGAACATGGCCACAGTGGGATTCTGTGTCCTTTCCCATTTCCCCTAGCACTGGTCCTGAGCCCCGGTGTAACAGTGGACCGCCCACAAGTCCCTCTCAAGGACAGCCCTGACGTACAGGGCTGTTTCTGCATGACCCCACCAAAAAATGAGCCAATTTCATCCAGGGGAATGTCGAGTGGGAAAGGCTTGCACGGCTTTGGAGAGGGAGGAACGGAGTGTCCCTGTGGACACGGCAGCCACAGGGAGCACCACCAGCAGCCAGCTCATGCCTGTAACCCTAGCTACTCAGAAGACTGCGACCTGAAGGCTGTAGTTCAAAGCCAGTCCTAGAAGAAAAGTCTGAAACACTCCATCTCCAAATGGCCAGCAAAATTGACACACTGAAAATCTGGCTCAAGTGGTAGAGTTCCAGTTTTGAGCACAAAAGTGAGTGAAAGTGTTAGGTCCAGAGTAGGAAGAAGATAAGGAATAAGGGAGGGAGGAAGACAGGGAGGGAAGAAGGGAGCAAGGACGAAAGAAGGAGAAGGAAGGAAGGGGGAGGGGAGACAAGAGAACATAGGAAAAAATACAAATCAAGAAATATTATTCACATGCAAAACAAAGATGGAACACTTACCACTGAATAGAATAATTTCAGCATTAACAAAGAAAAGAAGCTGGCACCTGTGGCTCAGGCTGGTGATACTACAGGAGGCTACGATCTGAGGATCGCAGATTGAAGCCAGCCTGAGCAAGAAGTCTGTGAGACTTCTCTCCAATGAATCACAGGAAAACCCAAGGTAGCAGTGGTGCTGTGGCTCAAGTGGTAGAGGGCCTTCCCTGAGTAAAAGGAGCCAGGGACCAGGGGCCAGAGAGCCGGGCTTGACCGCGATGGAGATCACAATGCTGCCACCCTGCAAAGCTGGCTTCCTCCCCCAGTGGGGCACCCCTGCAGGGTCCCCACAGATGCGCCCTCCCCTGAACCCATGTCCTGGGGCCTCATCCACAAGGGAGGATCCTCCCAGAGCTGTGGATATCAGGAGTAATTTCCAGACACGGGTCCTGAGGACCAGCCATTCCTGCACCCAGTGAGCTGGCCCTGGACGATGGGCGATGACGCTGGTGACGTCTAGTCCAGCTGCTAGCTCCCCCAGAGCACCCCAGGCTGCTGGCAAGGGGCACAAGTACCCATGCAACCCCAGGGGCTTTGACAGGCCCATCAGCATCACGTCCTCCCGCCAGGACAACCAATCTTCAAACACCCAAGTAGCATTTTATTCTACCCCAACAGGAAAACAGGAGCCAAAAGAAGGCATCAACAGTCCATGGTGGAATTTGTCTTGCCTTTCCTAAAGACAGACAATTGGCTTCAAAAATGGTGCTCATATCTAATCTTGACAATTTCCTCCCAGTCATGGACCTGGGAAGACACCTGTGCTAAATCTTGAATGGAGCTGCAGCCCGTGCAAATGCTACACACACATCCCTGCCCGCGGGGGCTCTGGCTGAAGGGGAGCCAGGCAGCAGTAATGGGTTTATTCTTCCTCTCTGAAGGATTTACAGAAGGCCGAAGAGGAGAATGAAATTACCCTTCCTGCCCAAAGGCACTTTTAAAAGTTCAATTCCACTCAACCTGCCTATTCTATGAGAGCGTTTAACTGCTGGGGATAATTGGAGACATTGTGCTCTGCTTGCCAGGAGCAGCCGTGTGACACAGAACACACTCAAAGGTCTCCAGAGTCCTCAGCAGCCGCCCAAGACTGGGGGCTCAGGCACCCTCGCACCCAGGGCCAGGTCTAAGGGCCTGTGTGTGACACAAGCCCAGATGATTCCAGCTGCGGATCTGTCCCCAAAGCAAACTTCAAAGTCTCCCTCCGCTATAACCCCACCTCCCTGCAGGTGCCGGTCTGCGTGGGGTAAACAGTGGGATCAAAGAGGCTGGAATTCAGTCCTGCAGGCTGGCTTCTGCCACTTCTCCATGACAGCCAGCAGCGGGCCCTGGCTACACACACGTGAGAAAATCAACCAGAGTTCAGGGCCGGAGGTGCCTGCAGCCTTGCCTCACTCAGCCAGAGTGCCTGCTGGGGCCCTGTCTCCACACCACACCAAGGGCATTCTGGGAGTGGAGGCCGGGCCTAGCATAACTCTGGGTACACAAGCATAACGTGGTAAAATGTAAGGGTTCAGAGTTCAAGCCAGGAAGGAGCAGTGTCATTCCTAACTGCCTTCAATGAGCCACTGGTTCTCCAGACCTCAGCCCAGTCCTCCACACACAGAGGACGGATGAGCAACCTGCTGACAGAAGGGAGGAGGCAGGAATCACGGCAGATCGTGGCCCGTTGGTCGGGGCTGCAGTGAAACCCTTTGTACAACTAATCTATACTAGCAAAATGGTGAAACAACATTTAAAAATGCGTGGAGCTGTTCATACACGCTCCCTGTAACAACTGATGGATGGCTGGCACCCACCAGCCACCACCACTGACCCAAACCGCAATGACACACAGTCACCAAACTCCAGCTTTGCAGCACTGGTCCACACGCACCGCGTGGATAGAAATGCCTGCTCAGGAGCTTCCTCGGGGTGTCTGTCCATCATCTGCACATCTGTCCATCATCCTCACGTCTGTCCATCATCCTCACATCTGTCCATCATCCTCACGTCTGTCCATCATCCTCACGTCTGTCCATCATCCTCACATCCATCCATCATCCTCACATCCATCCATCATCCTCACGTCTGTCCATCATCCTCACATTTGTCCATCATCCTCACATCCGTCCATTATCCTCACATCCATCCGTCATCCTCACGTCATCCTCACGTCTGTCCATCAACCTCACCTCCGTCCATCAGCCTCACATCCATCTGTCATCCTCACATCTGTCCATTATCCTCACGTCTGTCCATCATCCTTACGTCCGTCCATCATCCTCACGCCTGTCCATCATCCTCACATCCATCCATCATCCTCACGTCTGTCCATCATCCTCACATCCATCCATCATCCTCACGTCTGTCCATCCTCCTCACATCCGTCCATTATCCTCACGTCTGTCCATCATCCTTACGTCCGTTCATCATCCTCACATCATCCATCATCCTCACATCTGTCCATCATCCTCACGTCTGTCCATCATCCTCACATCTGTCCATCATCCTCATGTCTGTCCATCATCCTCACATCCACCTATCATCCTCACATCCGTCCATCATCCTCACATCCGTCCATCATCCTCACATCTGTCCATCATCTTCACATCTGTCCATCATCCTCATGTCTGTCCATCATCCTCACATCATCCATCATCCTCACGTCTGTCCATCATCCCTCATCCTCACGTCCATCCATCATCCTCACATCTGTCCATCATCTTCACATCTGTCCATCATCCTCACATCCATCCGTCATCCTCACATCTGTCCATCATCCTCACATCTGTCCATCATTCCCATACCCATTCATCATCCTCACGTCTGTCCATCATCCTCACATCTGTCCATCATCCTCATGTCTGTCCATCATCCTAACATCCGTCCATCATCCTCACATCCATCCATCATCCTCACATCTGTCCATCATCATCTGTCCGTCATTCTCACC